TATGATGCGGTTCAGCAGTCTGCAACGTCTTATTTTCTTATTTATTACTCCCTCTTTTTAAAAATACTTGTCGGAGAAATAGATGTATCTAGACATATCCATTTTTATTCATTTGTCTGACATTTACTTTGGGACTGAGGGAGTACAAGAAAAGGAAGGTCTGAATTTTTTTAAAGATCTTTTGCTACATATGGACTACTAAATCATCTGCGAAAAACTCAGTTCAACGATAGGCCGTATACATGGTTGCCTTCTCACCCGGCCCACCTCATTTGCAGTCCACTGGCCTTTGATTCCAATGAGCTGGACCATGCACCACCACGGCAGTCGTTTCCCTCCAAAAATGCCAAAGTAGGAATACATCAGGATACCACAACTGGCATCTAATGTTTCTGAACAAAAGCTGGCATATATCTAAGACAAGCGATACGAATATATTTTGGAGACATGCACCAACGCATGAGCACACGCACACCACAAGATGAGCACACCATGACGACACAAAATGATATAACACATCAAAAATTGATTGTCAAATTTAATTACCAGTACTTCCTCCGTCCAAGTGTATACGGCATCTAATGAAAAATTAGTAATCAAAATATATAAGTCACCGTGCATAGAATGATCTTCTCAATCTCATTCCCTGTGATAATTATTTTTTATTTTTCATGCTGCTAATTTTGTTGGATGACGCATTAAATAAGGATTTGCATGTTTCTCTTTACGAATTAATGACCTGAAAAACCAACGTAGTGGTTGACTCCTCTCAATTTTTCAAAAGGTTAAAATACAAGTCGTTGTCCGAAACAAGAAGAGTCACTGACGGGCCGTATGGTGAATGGTCCTCGCTGAAAACAAGTGATTGATTATTTCTGCATGCTTGGAGTCTCAATAGTTTATATATGTAGAAACACGATGTGTTGAGGCAAATTAATCATCCTTATTACTCTAGACCATATATGAACATTACGCGACATGGTAGTACCATAATATATTTATTTATTTGTATGAATTACATGGACATGGCGTGTTTCTTATCAGAATGCACGCCACTGCTTTGCGGCCAGCTCCAAATTTATTTTCTCCGTCCTATCACGCATACTAATTATACTCAACTTGCATATGCATACAAGCTAGGGTACATCAAGAGGAAAATGTAGGGCCGGAATGTATATACAATAGTAGTTATATGGAACACACTGTTTTATACTATCATGCATGCATCGGTCCTACTATTGATCCTTGATTATTTGTTACTCTCTCCATCCCAAAATAAATTAGTAAAAAGTTGAGACACTTATTTTGAGACGGAGGGAGTATATAGGTATGGCATGTATTTTGATTCATGGTACTTAAATATGATCGCATCCACCATTATTATGCTGTCTTCTACTAGTAATGTGGATGTAGTCCCGCCTTTTGCTTCACGGCGTTCTCCAGTTCGTCACAAAATGCTGAGCACTCTTTGCTCATTGTTCGTTGGGTTCTCTGTTTCAGCAAAGATGATAGAATTGTAAGTATTTTTGTGTAAAGTTTCCATTCCGACGAATGAAAGTTGGATCATAAGACACAGTTGCACACATCTAGTCAACATTAGAATTTTTTGACACATCCACAGAACTATTGTGTTACTTAGTATGTATGATAATTTTTGACAGTGTTGCAGGAAAATTGATCACCAATGAGTGTTGACACATTGATGTCAGAACCCTCCAAAACCCGGAAGATGGAACCCGAAAAACTAGAATGACGAGGGTTTCATGGAATACATGCTACATATGGCTAGAGGGCACATGTAACCTTATTTATCCTCCAACCCCAATACTATAACCGAGAAACATTTTGCAGTAGCAGAAACTTGTCGTGATCTGCTTGACACTTATAGTACATTATACAGATGCCTTGCATCAGAACCTTAATTACGTGTTATCGTTCAAGGTAAGCAAAGTGCACCATTCACATTTTTATTGTACTATGCTACCCTTTTTTATTGAGGGTCGTGTGGGGTGCGGGGATCGTTCAAGGTAAGCAAAGTGCACCATTCACCTTTTTATTGTACTATATGCTACCTTTTTTTATTGAGGGTCGTGTGGGGTGCGGGGATCGAACCAAATTCATTTAAATGCACAATAAACTAATTAACTTTCATTTGACAATATTGATAAGTCATTTACCTTGATAGGGTGAATAAATATTGCATGAGTTATATGGTGGATAACCCAGAGTAGGGGCTGAAAAAATGTCCACAAATTCGTATATACCCTTTAGCTAAATCCACCTCAATCAACGTCTCAGAAAAAAAGTGCTTTATTGAGTTTAGTTCATCAAGTATATTACTCCCTCCGTCCCAAAAGAAGTAACTCAACTTCGTACTAACTTTAGCACGTTAGTGACTCAACTTTGTACTAACTTTAGTACGTTAGTACAAAGTTGAATCACCTATTTTGGGACGGAGGGAGTACTATATAATACTGGAACGTCAATGGTTAAGATCAAATCATAAGCATCTATGACACGACACCAACAGGAATATAAGTCAGATCCATGTGTGTACCTGAAGATGAAGGCTATAGAAGGTCCTGTTCTGAAAAGCGGAAGCGGACGAGCTGACGAGGCAGAGGCCTTGATTCTCCAGCACGTTGATGCATTTGGACATGGGCAGAGCGCCAGCCATGGTGTTCAGCAGGCTGACCTGGACCATGATTTCCCTGTCGTTGAGGCAGGTGGCGGAGACGATCGGAGCCGTGTCATCTCCCGGCCTGCAGCTGGCACGCGTCAGCTGTTCCTTCTTCTTCTCCAGGCCGTCTACCTCCTTCTGCAGCTCCGGGATGTACTTGATCACCCGCGACACAATGGTCGGATTGTTCAGCTTCCTCTGACACGTCAGCGAAAGCAAAATCAATCAGATGTTCAGTACAGAATCTCGCACATGTGCGTAGCGTAGGCGTAGCGCAGAGAAGATGAACAAGTTAGGTTTAGTTAAGAGATCTAATTACAGTGTGATGATCATCGTCAGGGAGGAGGGAGCGAAGGTTGGAATAATGCTCGTTGAGCTGCTTGCGGCTGTCGCGCTCGTACGCGCTGTGGCTCATCTTCCGGTGGGAACCCGGGCCGCCGGATGAGGTGGCGTTGTTGGCAGCCGGTGCCGCCGGGATGTCGTGGTCTAGGCCCGGCCACTGCAGGGACGGCGCTGGGTGGTGGTGGCCACCGGAGAAGATTTCCGCCTCCAGTGACGACATGCTGCTCGTGAACGGGTCGTTGAACATCTGGTGCTCCATTGCTCGCAGCTAGCTTCTGCTTGATCTCGTTCGTGTGGAGAGGTTGTAGAGATGATGGTGGATGAGGGAACCTAGCCTGCTTGATCTACGCTAGTTGAATTTTAACCAGATTGATCAGCATGAACAAATTTTCACGTACGGTTTGATCCACGAAGTCAGCTTGAGCAAGTTCCGGAGTGGCGACCTCCATTTTATATAGGGCGAGGGATTCGCAGTGTCCAGAGAACTGATTTGGCCCGGATGTCTAAAAGGCATACTCCAGAGAACATTATGAAAGTGAGGTAATAAAGGGGAGAAAAGCAATTCTATTGTGCACGCGATATCTCATGCATGGCTCAGCCATCCATTTACTTCACGATCATATCTATATGCTTGTATTCTTGTGAATCTTATTGTTTATTAGCACATTATGTGACATCTTGACGTTACCTTTTTGTCATGCAGTGACCGGGATTCCTGCAACCTCTCTCATCCATCCTCTCACTCCCAAGCAATAGTACACCCATTCATGATTTTCGTATGATTTTAAATTTTGAATCTTATTAACTCTGAACCACAAATCCAATTTATGATATGTTTGTTATGTTCCTTGCAATTAGGACACTGAAATAATATCACTTTCGAATATATTATGATAAGTTTTAAAATTTGAGTTCGAAAACATGATGGAACCATATCAAACATAGTGATGCATTGTAGTACGCGAAAAAACATAGGAAAGCTTGATGAGAATGAGTTTTTACTAAAAAATTGTAGTATTATGTTTGAAGCATGTTGAGACGTAATGAAACATTATGATATGTTGTCGATCACGATGAAGCACAGTGAAACAATATCTTTGTTTTTGTGGAACATAATAAAACTTAATATTATGTTTTAAATAAACATTTGTGCTTATCAGGTTTTACTAGGTTTTCACGCGTTCTAGAGTGTATCACTATGTTTCATAGAGTTCCACCATATGTTTCAAAATTCGATTTTGAAAATTAACAAACTATATTCAAGATTGATCTTCTTTCAAAGCTCTAGTTACATTGAACATAAATGAACAAAGAGACCGTAAATCCAACTTTATGTTCAATACACATCGGTCCTTTTAACTGGAAAACCTAAATCCATGCCTCACACTCCCAAGCAATAGTACACCCATCCATGATTTTCATATGATTTTAAATTTTGAATCTTATTAACTTTTGAACCACAAATCCAATTTATGATATGTTTGCTATGTTCCTTGCAATTAGGACACTGGAACAATATCAATTTCGAATATATTATGATAAGTTTTAAAATTTGAGTTCAAAAACATAATGGAACTATATCAAACATAGTGATGCATTGTAGTACGCGAAAAACATAGGAAAGCTTGATGAGAATGAGTTTTTACTAAAAATTTGTAGTATTAATTATGTTTTAAGCATGTTGAGACACAATGAAACATTATGATATGTTGTCGATCACGATGAAGCACAGTGAAACAATATCTTTGTTTTTGTGGAACATAATAAAACTTAATACTATGTTTTCACTAAATATTTGTGATTATTAGGGTTTACTAGGTTTTCTTGTGTTCTAGAGTGTATCACTATGTTTCATAGAGTTCCACCATATGTTTAAAATTTTGATTTTGAAAATTAACAAACTATATTCAAGATTGATCTTCTTTCAAAGCCCTAGTTACATATTTAACATAAATGAACAAAGAGACTGTAAATCCAACTTTATGTTCAATACACATCGGTCCTTTTAACTGGAAAAACTAAATCCATGCCTCACACTCCCAAGCAATAGTACACCCATTCATGATTGTCGTATGATTTTAATTCAAATTCAGGCTCCATTTTGAGCATTGAATTCAAATGACATCCAAACGAATTGAATCGTGTTGTTAATTGATTCAAATGAATTTCAAAAGTTTGAACTATGTTTTGACCAAATATTTTGCCAAGTTTGAATTATTTCAAATTTGAATTCAAACTAAGTTTGAAGCATAAATGAAGCTCATTTGAAATTCAAATATGAATCCTTCTGTACATTGATTTAAACATGAATTTAAAATTGACCAAACCCTTTTCTAGTCAAGTAAGGTCATTCAAGTTTGAATTATCATTCAAATTAAATGTGAAGTTCATTAACCTTAAGGCACAAGTGACACCCAATTGAATTTAAACATGAATATTTGCGTACAGTAATTCAAGTGTTTAATTCAAATCTATTTAAAGGTCATTCAAGTTTGAACTATTAGACTAAAATATGAACTTCCTGATCTTAGCTCATAAACAATGAATCTAGTTTTATGATTCCATTTGTCAATTGAATCTAGCAATGTAACCTTGCATCACATACCTTTATGTGATGTACTTATTTAATTGACACAATATGCATGTGGACCCTTATGTCACTGCGTTCTAAGTAACAACCTATGTTGTTTTCTAACTCTTTATGTGTTGTCACAATGCACTTAATCTCACAACACCATCTAGACTTATACCATACACTTCACATAGTTTTGTTGTCTATTTAATTTGTACTGTATGGTTGTTTATGTGAACTCTCTATATATGATAGATTGTTTGGATAGAGAAGAGCGGAAATTGAAGAACATTGTCAATACAAGGAGAGTGGAACCTTTGATCATATCACATATTATTTTCTTGCATGTAGAACTTTACAAATAGGAATGCATAACTAAGCAAATATTTATTGTATGTTGTAGACAAGATACCTAGTAGCAAAGCCATGGGTTCTTTACCCTGTTCCTTGTAACGATCATGTAGAGATGCTTAGCTACTATATTATAAAGGGGTTGGAATCACACTAGATGAAAGGTTACAAAGTATATGGTTGACAACTTAATTAATTAAACATTTATGAAATTGGCATTGATTGGTCATCAAGTGTAAAGTTGATGGGGACTGCCACCTACTCCCTCCGTTCTAAAATATATTACTCAACTTTGTATAAAGTTAGTACAAATTTGAGTCATCTATTTTGGAACGGAGGGAATAGGTATCAAAGGGATTGTATGTGTTCCAAGTTAAGTAGCTTCCAGGTGTAACCGTGTGTCAATACGGGCTCTGTCTTGAACAAGTAAGTTGCAGGAATCCTGACCCACAAATTAGCTAAGGTAGTTAGTTGTGAGGTTGTATGGGTTTGCCAGGTCATACAGGGTTGTTTAAACATGACTTCCAAGTATACATTAAGAAATGACGACATGTATCACCGAATAGTAGATGGTGTTCTCTTAAGAGCTTGAATGAGGATCAAGCCCGAGTTGCTATGGAAGAGGTACATGATGGTTTATGCGGAACTCATTAGTCGGCTTACAAGATGAAGTGGATGCTACGACAAACCAGCTATTATTGGTCGACGATGATGACCAACTGTTTCAGGTACTTCAAAGGATGTGAAGCCTGCCTGAATTTTGGAGATAATCAGTTGGCTCCGGCTATTATGCTCAATCCTATCATAAAACCGTGACATTTTCGAGGTTGGGCACTCGACTTTGTCGGTATGATCCACACGGCTTCGGTAGTGGTCTTTCTAAAAAGGGGGTATGTGTTTACTCTCATTTTCAAAAGTGCTCTTTCTAATAAGGGTATTTCTGGTATTATAAGGACCCGGGAGGAACAAGCTTGAGAAACACCAAAGGTATGGAAACTAGCGACAAGAGAAAAAGCTACCATGCACCAGTTAGTAAAGTTTGGATTCACCATGGCCCAATTGGTAATCATTGGTTGAATGGTCGGAGTGAATCAATCGGTAATTATAGTGTAAATCTACGAGGGACATGCCAAATTTCATTGGGTTCACTTGAGCAAAATGTTAATGAGTTGGCTCTGCCCCTGGTAATATGATTGAATCACGGTCTGAGTGAAGCTTCAGTCGAAATCCGATCCAAGTGACACCTCACTCGGGTAATGTGAATAGAAGCTAAAGATAGGCCTGTCAAATTATCCAGATGGCCTTAGATTGCGAAACCAGATGGGAGGCATACATCAGATATGATCAAGGCTGACTGAAGCTATGATTGGCATACTGTGGTCCTTCAGTACCAGTTGGCACGGACCAACGAAGACCAGGAAAGTGAGACGACATGTGTTCAGGTGACCAGGAAAGAAGCAACACATGTTCCACTACTAGAAAAAGGGCTATAGATAGGATGATACTAATGACGCATCATGAAACCAGTGCACCACTACTATATACTAATGACGCACCGGTTGGTCATGCGCCATTAGTGTGAAAGACACTAATGGCGCACCAGAAACAGGGTGCGCCACTAGTATTAAATTATTATTTTTTCCATTTTTCCATACATACTAATGACGCATCAGGTCGAAGTGCGCCATTACTAGTTCTAAGTAGTAATGGCGCACCAAGCAGACAGTGCGCCATTACTGTAAAAAAAATTTATTCTTTTTTTTGCAAAACTACTAATGGCGCTTCGTTTCACAGTGCGCCATTACTAGTTTAAACTAGTAATGACGCACTACTACCCGGTGCGTCATTAGTATATATATATATTTTTATTTTTTTAAATTTCATGGGCACTTTTCGAATTCATGAATATTTTTTCAAATTTGATGAATATTTTTAAATCCCGATCGCTATCCCCCTTCATCTCGATCTCGATCCCCCCTCCCGCACCCTCCCCCGCTAGCTCCACCGCCGACG